ACGCAGCTGGACGATCTGGACTTCGCAGATGACCTGGCTCTTCTATCTCACACTCAACAACAAATGCAAGAGAAGACGACCAGTGTAGCAGCAGCCTCTGCAGCAGTAGGTCTCAACATAAATAAAGGAAAAAGCGAAATTTTCCAATGCAACACAACATGCACTAACCGAATTACGCTTGATGGAGATGCCGTGGAGGACGTTAACACCTTCACATATCTTGGCAGCATCATCGACGAGAAAGGTGGATCGGACGCAGATGTGAGGACGCGGATTGGCAAAGCGAGGGCTGCATTTCTACAGTTGAAAAATATCTGGAACTCCAAACAACTTTCAAACAAAACCAAAATCAGGATTTTCAATACAAATGTCAAGACAGTTCTACTGTATGGAGCGGAAACATGGAGAACTACCAAAGCCATCATCCAGAAGATACAAGTGTTTATTAACAGTCGTCTACGCAAAATACTTCGTATTCGTTGACCAGACACCATCAGCAACAACGAACTGTGGGAGAGAACAAGTCAGATTCCAGTGGAGGAGGAAATCAGGAAGAAGCGGTGGAAGTGGATAGGACATACACTACGAAAAGCACCGAACTGCGTCACAAGACAAGCCCTCACATGGAACCCTGAAGGCAAAAGGAAAAGAGGAAGGCCAAGGAACACACTACGCCGAGAAATAGAGAAAGGTATGAGAGGTATGAATAAACATTGAACAGAACTGGAGAAAGAAGCCCAGGACAGAGTTGGTTGGAGAAAACTGGTGGGCGGCCTATGCTCCATTGGGGGTAACAGGCGTAAGTAAGTAAGTAAGTAATTAAGGTATAAATAAATTTTTATTTATAAGAAAAATGATAGAATGAATTGTGATTTAGTATTAAGAAGTTTGTGGAGATTGTTGAATTTCATAATTTGTATTGTAAATTCATTTCAATTAGACAACTAGTGTGAAATCCGAAATTAATGAGTAACGCCTTGAATTTTGCTTGGAACTTTTCATCATTTTGTGTCCGATAGGATTAAATGGCCAGGTATTGCGGAAACGTATCTGACCTCTCTGGACACCATTTACTTTCTATATCCTTTCAATAAATATATAATTCTTATTGGTAATTTGGATTTTGTTTGATGATGATAAAATCTATCGAATATAAAAACCTGATCTCAAAGAAGCAGTTAAATAGCTAACAGATTTGAGGTCAGACCGATCCTGTTTACATGACTGTCAAACTCATTATTATTAGAAATGATGATATGTAATAAAGAGCGCCTCAATCGCAATGGTCCTCCGGAAAATAGCAAAACAAACCACCAGTATCAATGAAATTTGTAACTCTGCAAACCAAATTTGTATATGGACTGTTAGTACTGCCAAGCCATCCACAATGTTCACAGCGAATCTCTAATCTCATAGGAAAACTTCAGCTCTATGTTGTATAGCGTATGGTATACACATAGTATGGCATAGGATGATAGTAAGAGATGCAGACCAGCTTCATACAAATGAGCTCAAACACTCTTATTACCATTTGTCTCACTATAGGGTAGTAATTTTTTCTAAATACCGAAATTTTCATTTTTCGACCATATGATGAGACATGAGTTAAGGTTTACATCCGGGATAAACACACAACTAGAGTTTAGATAAAGTCGGTTGTAGTTATCCATATCTGATTGTCTGAATGCACATTTAGTTTTGGTTTAGAGAGATCAATTTCGGTTGGTTTTTTCAGCATTTGGCTTTAGTTTAACCTCAAATCTGTTAGCTTTTTCACTGCTTCTTTGAGATCAAGTTTTTATATTCTATAAGTTTTATCATCAAACTACCAATAAGAATGATATATTTATTGAAAGGATATAGAAAGTAAGTGACCTGGAGAGGTCAGATGCATTTGCACAATACCTGACCGTTTAATCCTAACGGACACAAAATGATGAAAAGTTCCAAGTGAAATTGAAGGCGTTACTCATTAATTTCGGATTTATCACTAATTATCTAATTGAAATGAATTCACAATACAAATTATGAAATTCAACAATTCTCCACAAACTTCTTAATACTAAATCACAATTCATTCTATCATTCTTCTTATAGATAGAAATTTATTTATACCTTAATTTACCTAAACCCTATTATCCTAAATGGACGACAGGCCATCGACCAGTATTCTCCAACCTACTCTGTTCTGGGTTTCCATTTCCAGGTCTTTCCAAGTCTTATTCATTCTCCTCATGTTTGTCTTGATTTCTCGGTATAATTTGTTCTTTAGACCTTCCTCTTCTCCGTTGACCTTGAAGGATTCCGAGCTGAGGGCTTCCGTAGTATGTGTCGTATCCACTCTCACTGCTTCTTCCTGATTTCTTCCTCTACTGGAATCTGGTGTGTTCTCTCCCACAGTAGGTTGTTGCTGATGGTTTCTAGTAAATAGACCCGAAGTATCTTGTTGTGTTAATAAATAACTGTATCTTCTGGATGTTGGCCTTCATAGTTCTTCGAGTTTCCACCCCATAGAGTAGAACTATCCTGTATTGAAAATTCTGATTTTGGTGTTGATCGATAGTTCTTCGGAGTTCCAGATAATGTTCAATTGTAGAAATGCAGGCCTCACTTTCCCAATCTGTTTAACAATACCCTGTTAAAGAGTTTTTGCCTGGTATTGAGAGAAGTGTGATGCCTCTGTAGTTCTTACACTTGTTGAGATCGCGTTTCTTTCGTGTTTTGATAAGATCACCATCTTGTATGGAAAATTTATTCACACTTACTTTTCTAATACACAGATCAGATCGGAAACACATCACTGACTCAGCGAAACAGACTAACATTAGTGGTTTTTTATTCTGAATTAACTATTTTGATTTACTTTTATTGAGTTCATGTTCATTTATCCAAAAAGGTGTCATCTGGCAATCGCGCTTTTACTTATCATTTGGTTGATACCATTAAAATCTTCCTCTCCTCATTTAAATAAAATACAAGCCTCTTCTTTGTTTGAAGTACTGAATATTTATTAGCAGGGATAGTTAATGGATACCAGTGGGAACCAGCATGCACGTATTTTCCCACATGAACCAGCTATATAACAGAGTTAATGTTGAATTCAAGACACAAGACCGAAGTCCCTAGGTTTGATTTTTGCAATTTGTGGGAGTCGTAGATGCGCCCTGCTGAAGAGTCAGTCTCATACCAAGACGAAACAGTTGTATTTCAGTGCTTCCCGCTTTCTAATTGATTGTCTAACGATGATTGATTCACACGGTTTTAATATAAAAGAGAAAAATCTTAAAATATGTAACTGTTAATAATCATGTTGTAATACTTATGTGTATTAATAATCTTAGTCTATAATAACAGAATAAATACGCTGTAAGTTGTGTAGTTTACGATATTCTTATACAGCGGAAAGATCTCCTAATTTATGACTAGCTAGTCTAGTGTTCCTTACGGAACGATGGAATACACGTAGTAACGGAATACAATGACAATATTATTGGTTAAAACTAGTCCTATGAGTCAGTCCGTCAATTAATTCAGAATATCGCATTAAATCTGTCCACATAAAAATATTTTGAAACAGGTTATTTCTGACGCATTGTTTAAAGATATTTTGGGGCAGAGTTTTGGAGGTTTGTGTTTTCTTACACAATTGAAATCATCAATCAATCATTGTTAGACCAGCATTAGAAACCTGGAATCACTGAAACACGGCCGTTTCCTCCTCGTATGGGACTCATCAGCAGTAACAGTGTGCATCCACGACTCCTGTGCCTCGCAGGATTCGAACACGGGACATTCGTTATCGTGCGCGAACTCCTGACCATCGGACCACTTGGCCGGTATCTAACGGTGTTGATGCCTAACTTGATCAAATTCACTGAGGAGTCCCATACCTGGACGAAACGGCCGTGTTTCAGTGCTTCCAGGTTTCTTCTAATGGTGGTCTAACATTGGTCGATTCATGGTTACAAAAAAGTGTAACTTAACAATCTTCACAACCCCTGTAATGCATAAAAAGAAATAACCATTGAGATTGCACAGCCATCGATCTTTACTACTTTATAATACATTGCACAAACGAATTCAGTGTCTAGTTTGTTTTCACTTCGACTTGCCTGCTCTGCTCAAATTCGCTTTGCTTGTACACCGCCTTCACTCATTTTATTCTCATGTCTGCCTGTGAGAATGACTGCATGCAATAAAATCATTCAACTGAATCTGTATTCGGTTTCTTATTATTGGTGTCGCACAAGAGAGAGAGAGAGATAGTTCGCCTAAGCCACAAAACTGTATATAATTGCTGTTGAGTTTCGTTTGATGAATACATTTTCTTTTAGTCAGTCTTTATTTCAATAACAATTTTGTGGTGGAGTTTCGTTCTCCGAGCTTTGGAGCTTTGATTGTTCATCTTTTGAACTACAACATCATCAGCACAAGAATCATCGAGAAGTGAAGTATTCGAATTTCTTCACGTAGGCCTTGTAGCTTGTTCTGTTATGGTCAATAAAAACCAATCAAAATCGATCATAACAAAACAACATACGGTTCAAACATGAAAAAATTCGAATACTTCACTTCACTTCGTCTACCTGAAGTTTGTGCTGATAACGATGTTGTTCAGAAGAAGAACAATGGAAGCTGCACAACCAAAGCGTTCAGCTGAAAGAACGAAACTCAATCACAATCATCCACCTGTGGGGCTACATATTTTCTCCATCATCTCAATGACATTTTAATTGTTTGCTTATATCTAGAATCATTTTGAACTTTCTGTTAAACTGCTTTCGTTATTAATTACTATGTATATATATTCCAGGGTTGACGCTGAGACTGAATGCGAGTGTCAACGATTGCGTTACCCACATCGCTTCAGAACACCGTTCAACTAAGCGCGAATTATTGAAATCGAAGAGAGAAGGTTAATTGAAACCACATCCTGTACCCATAAAAACGGTTTTCAATCAATAAACCAAAACTATCAAAATCAAAGATGAATACACATATTAATCATCAGATAGATATATATTTTTTCCAAACAGAATAACATATATTACTGACAACATACTAATAAAATGCATTTATATGTTTGAACAACGCACATGCACACGCACACGCACACACACACACGTAGCGAACAATTTCAAATGAACCGGTTATTAGAGAAAAAAATTATCATAAAATTCAATGAATTTTATCCTAAAAAAAGAAAACATTTGAACTGTTTCTTCTGTTTTGTAAGAAAACCAAGATTTCATCTCAATTCATTTGTTCTAATTATATCGTTGATCAATATGCATAGTTTTGTTTAAATAAACTCCATTTCCTGTGTATTTGTTTCCCCGCCAAAATAAAATTGATCACACTGTGTTTCCCTTACAAGTTCATAGTAAAACAAATTGAAATGAAATTTTTGTTTTGTTTAAAACACAGTGAATATGAGTTGATAAACAAACACAAAAAGAAAATAAAATAAAGATTTTTTTAATATTAGAAAAAAAGATTTTTTTTTAATAGAAAAAAAACCCGACTTGTTTTTTTGCATACTTTATTCATACAGAAAAATTTTGGAAAAGAAAATGTAGTTGAGTAAGTTTGTTTGAAAAAAAAAGGAAGAACAATATTATTACTAGTAATAGTCGTAGTGTAAGTAGTAGCAGTAGTCGGAGTAATAGTAGCGAGTAGTAGTGGTGGTAGGAGTCGGAGTAGTAGTAAGTTATGTGAGTGGTAGTAGGAGTAGAAGTAGTAGTAGTAGTCGGAGTAGCAGTAGTAGTAGTAGTAGTAGTAGCAGTAGTAGGAGTCATAGCAGTAGCAGCGGTAGTGTGAGTAGTAGCAATCGGATTAGTAGTAGTAGTAGTTGGAGTAGTAGTAGTCGCAGCAGTAGTAGTAGAAGTCGGAGTAGTAGTAGTAGTCGGAGTAGTAGCAGTAGTAGTAGAAGTCGGAGTAGTAGTAGTTAGTGGTAGTGTGAGTAGTATTGTGAGTAGTATTCACTTTAAAATGGATATTTTGCTATTGAAATGTAAACATAAAATGAATGTTGAAATACTAGTTTATATTTTCGATGATTATTATTGTTATTCGCATCGATTAATGTCGGATTCACCGACAACCATGTTTGATTTTGATCACGATTATTATTATTATTAGTGAATGATGAAGTTGGATAAGATGAATTGCCCATTGTTGGCATATTTGCTGATTGTTGCTGTCCTGTGGATAGATTTATCGATGACATAGATTCCATGGCTTCTGCTGCTGTTGACGATGACGGAGGTCGTCTAAAATCATCTTCATAACAAGATACACGGAAAAATAAATAATACAATTGACCAGATTCATGGGATTGAATATATTGTTGTATTGTTGAACTATTGTTGATTGTAGCTGTTTGAAGATGTGCACTTAACAATGGACGTTGATGTGTAATAGTAGAAGTAGTAGTACTGGTAGTAGTAGTATTATTATTATTTGGATTTCTTGTCCAATTTGGTGTTAAATAAACTACACCATCTTCTGTACGATAATTTACTGGGATATTTGGTGTTTTATCTAAAAGTTGATAGTAACAATTCGATTGTTGAACCTTAAGTATAATGGGAAAAGAAGCAATAAGAGTTATTTCATGAATAAGTTTTATAAATGGTTATACTTTAACAATAAGATTTTTCACTAAAGAGTTATATTGTTGTTAATTAGTGAAATCATGAATTAATCAATCATTAACTCCGCCAGTAGAACCTTCGAGGCTACTGCCGGTCCCAAGCCCGGGTAAAGGAGGAGGGTTGGACATGAGGTTGGCGACCCCGTTCCATCAAAAACTAACTTTCCAAAAAAATGCTAACCAGAAAAACTAATTCAAACCATTTTAACTCTGCCCTGGGAGTTGGAGGATGAATTATGACGTCGCGTGATGAAAGCCGAGTTCCCTCGGAAGTCACGGGGCCGATGCCTCTTCTGACAACCAGAGCAACCATTTTTTTAGGTACATGGAACGTTCGTACATTGTGGGAGACTGGAAGACTATTTCAAGTTGCGGCAGAAATGAAAAGATACAATCTCTAGGTGCTCGGCATCAGTGAAACACATTGGACACAGGTAGGACAACTGAGACTAGCTTCAGGGGAATTGCTGTTATACTCTGGTCTTGCACGCCAACGCTTAAACTCTGGACCAATGATCCAGTGGTATCCAAAAGTGTTAATTTTGAACCCTGATCAATCTAGGGATTTTGCGCAACCTCACCCATTTGTCTTCGGTAGTTACTATCTACACCTGAGAAAGTTGAACTCCATTGGTCACGTCTTCTTCCTAGAACTCTGAGAATTCCCTCACCAAGCTAGTTGGTCACTAGTAAGCATATTTTT